ACTCATAGTAGAATTCACTAGCGTATTGACAAAGGAGAACGTTTTGCGAGCTGTAAAAATCTTCAATAACGATAAGCTAAAAGGAGAAAAACTAAACACAGGTCAGCTAAATATCAATCGACCACCTAAACCTGTATATGTGACAGAAACATTGACTTCGAAAACACAAAAATTATTTTATTTAGCCCGAGAGTTATCAAGAGAAAAAGGGTTTAGTTTTTGCTGGACGTCAAAGGGAACAGTATACCTTCGGAAATCAGTAGGACAACCACTAATCCGAGTAAGCACCGAAACAGAACTGTTAAAAATCAAAAATAGTAAATGACTCGTACTTGCACAAATAATTATGTCCCGTACAGAATTTTGTATGTTTCATATTTTAAGTTTTTATAGTATTCTTCTCTGCATGTATAATGATATTTCACAAACTTTTTTTTTATATTGTAATTGTTACAACTTGTTAAGATTAAGTAATAATACACAGTACACAGCCATACCCCACACGATGACCAATCACACTGAAGTATCTATGGCTACTATCACTTATACATCTATAACCATGAACTCAAGTTACTCACAAATACGCTACACACGACTTCATAACTAACGGATTGCTTTTGTTAGTCGAAGGGCAATGAACATCTGTACATCTATACAAATAAATAAAATTGGAGTGTCTGTTTGTAATATTAAAATAACCGCTTTTTAGTAAATGCATGTGTATGTTTACACGGTACATATGCCAAAATAACATTTTTTAATTTTTTTGTCTGTCTGTCTGTCTGTCTGTTTGTTCCGGGTAATCTCTGGAACGGTTGGACCGATTTCGACGGGACTTTCACTGGCAGATAGCTGATGGCATAAGGAGTAACTTAGGCTACTTCTTTTAGACTAGCTTCGCCCCGCGGCGTTGCCCGCGGTTATAACAACAAACGCGGGTAGCACCGCGGGTCTCAGCTAGTCTATAATAATACTAAAAACATTCGATCCGTTATTTGAAACTATGGGAGACATAGACAAACTGCAGGTTTCAAATTCTTACACCTGTGAACCTGAGGAATGCTGTTCGCTTTTGAATGGACCGCGAAGACTTACTATACTCACCCAGAATATTCGTAGTGTCTCAGCCCAGCTTGCTAACTCTACTGACCCGAACTAAGCTAACGCAAGATCTTATAGAGCTCACAGAATGCTGGCTATCTACCAACTCAAATATTCCATTATTGGCGGGCTACAATAGTTTCCACCGTGCTAAAACAATAAACTGTTTAAAAGAAGGGGCCCTCCTTCTTTTAGAGACATAAACAGTTTTCTCTCGTCTCTTGATAATGTTTTAACGACTAACTCCAGATTTGTGAATATTGTGCTTCTCGGTGACATGAATATAGACATAGTAGAAGGTTCTAAGGATCGTAAGGCTTCGGAATATTTATATCTCACAGCCAGCCATGGACTTCTTCCAGCTCATACTGAACCTGAACTGAAAAACTAATAATAAAATAAAATAAAATAATAAAATAAACGGTCGTTTAACTTGGTTAACTAATAAAAATAACTAATAAATTCAAATGACACTATTCGCTAGTGTAATATGAACTTCTCCACGCCCAACTCATTTGTTTTTCTTGAAACTGATGAAATTGAAGTAGAACATGTGATGATGAGTTTACGAACGGACTGCGCAGTTGGCGTTGATGGGATTCCGTCTTATATATTGAAACAGTTTAGATCTACGCTTGTTCGACCTTTAACGTACATATTAAACCTGTGTATAAATACAGGAGTGTTTCCCGACCTATTTATGAAAGCTCTTGTACATCCCATATTCAAATCAGGTGACAGGTACGATGTCCATACCTATAGGCCAATATCAGTTCTACCAGCTCTATCAAAAATACTGGAACGTGTTATGAACAACAGACTTAGAGGCTATCTCGAGTCAAATAATCTCTTATCAGACAGACAGTATGGTTTCCGTAATGCCAGATCTACAGATCATGCAGTTCATGATCTTACAAATGAAATAGCTGAAGCTCTAGATAAGAGAGAAAAACCTCTAGCTATTTTTCTGGACTTGTCGAAGGCATTTGACACTGTTCCCCTGCCTAGACTGTGCAAGAAGCTTGAAAAAATGGGCAGTCGAGGAAACCAGTTAAAACTGTTTCAGAGCTACTTAAGCAATCGAACCCAATGTACGAAAGTGGGCGATTGCAAAAGCGCGGAACTTCCCATTGTATACGGTGTTCCGCAAGGTAGTATTCTTGGCCCTACGCTATTTTGGTGTATGTAAGTGATATGTGCGACTTAGTGTTGGAAAGCGGTAAAATTGTAGCTTTTGCGGACGATACCGCATTGATATTTAAAAGTCCATCTTGGAGTGAATCCTTCCATGTAGCTCAACTAGGATTTAATAAACTTACACAGTGGCTATCACAGAATAAACTTACCCTAAATATTAGTAAAACTTTTTTTATGACCTTTAAAATCAAGAACTCCCCTCTGAATACAGACTCGCTTAACATTACTGTCCACAAAAATAATAAGTGTAATAGTGATTGCGACTGCCCCAAGCTTACCCAAACTTACACAACTCGCTACTTGGGTGTCATACTTGATGACCATTTTTCATTCCATCTTCAAGTCGACAAATTGTGTAGTAGAGTACGTAAATTGATTTACGTATTTAAACACTTGAGACATGCTGCTGACCCTAATATAATAAAAATGGTTTATCATGGCGTAGATTCAAGATTCCTCAACCACAAGTTGCAAAACATCCTTTGGTCAAAAATTGTACTTCTTTCTTGGACGCTACTTATATAACTTGAAAAAATTCTTGATTTTCACAACAAAACTAAATATGAGTTTAAGAAAATAGTAACATCCTATATTTAAAACATCTCTTACGAAGAGACAGAAGTTCTTCTACACCCCCTTCAATAAACTTGTGAATTTCAAACACACACACTCACCTAGACGTAATCACACAAATCCACAGGACACATAAACACACCCACATATACACATACATACACTACCACACGCACATATTTACACACATAAACTCTAAAATTCTAGACTGTTAAAATATTATAAATTAGGTATATAATCTAACTGTAAGAACATCAGGGCAAATTGTAAATCACCTTAATGAGGTAAAAATAGCATATCTTAATAAACTGGTGGAAGAGGAACTGGAGGAAGGAAACTGGTGCTTATAACACAGGGTTTCCCTTTCTTAAGCACCAGTCGCTAAATGTGAAGACTATCACTGACTAAATGTCGCCCGATCAATTTATTGTAACTGCTGCAATTGATTTGAATAAATTTTTATTATTATATTATTATAATATACATACAGATGTATATTATATGTATAAATATAACGTTAGATTTTCATAGTTTCTTTTCTGTATACATACATGATCATCTGCCAAGTCTCATCTTAAGGTTGACTGGTAGATAATACCATGTAGACCAGGGTATGATATATGGTAAAAATAAAAAAAAATATTAGTAGGATGAAACCCATTGGAAAAGGAAGAGAAAATAACAAAAATGAAAGGAACAATAATTTACGGCGATCTGAGATCGAGAAGTGGAAAGGGTCACCCCCTACCACTTCTCGACCTTAGATCGCCCGATTTTAAGATTAAAAAACGGTTTATCTCGATTTCTGGCAAAACTACAAAACTATGGAAAAGAAGTTACATGGCAAAGTTCTAGGTAATAAAAAGATCTACAACTTTTGAATTTACACTTTTTTCACATAACCTCAAAATATATAATATATTTTTCACATCATTTTTGTTATATTCTCTTCCTTTTGCAATGGGTTTCATCCTACTATTATTTTTTTTGGTTTCAAAAATAATCGACCCTGGTCTAATGTGGCATTTACTTGTAATGTAGGAGTGCCAATGAAATAATAATAAATAAGTACCATCAAACTCAATTGAGGTGTTATAAACAAGTTTGTTGATTTTTTTTTCTACTATATGACGAGCTAATATAATACGAACGATTAAATGAAAAATTATTATGTAGGAAGTTCACAATGTAGCATTTTCAAGATATGCTTGCGGCTACTCTAGTAGTGGTAGAGTAGCATATGAACGGGTAAATAAGCACCGAATCCGCACATAATAGGCACAATGCTTCACAATGAATGAATGCCCACTCGACTGAATTGATAAGTGGGTTGTACCGCTTGCGTGGGGAGCGCGTGTGCGCCCGCCCGCCCGATCCACCGCGCCTCAATGTCGGGGAAACGTAAACTAATTTTGCGTTTGTGCCTATCAAACAAAATCCTCAGCGATGACCATGTATTTTCAATAACGTTTCGTTCGTATGTACAATGAACATATATTTATTTGTCACTGTTTTTAAATTAAACTTTTATTACATCACCTCAATTTTTTTTTCATTATATGTTTTATAATGTTATGCCTGTAAGTGGGGGTCTAAATAACGAACATGATTAACTATCCTTGATTAAAATACTTTTTTAGCCTTTATCATTAAACTTTTATTCAGAACTAAAGAATACGCATTTAACAGAAAAAATCAATGTCATTACATAGGTACTTGTGATATGATATAAAGTTCTTCCTGTTTAAATGTAATGTGTGTGTGTTTAGATGTTATGTTATTAAAACAAAAGCTTAGAGGTTTAGTTCTGGCCTGATAAACGGTAAACCCTTTCTTTTCTTACATTCTCGACGAAAACCCTCTAAAGAAAGTTGAAAAGATTTGATAATTATAACATTTCATCATCGAATAAATCTTTAATTTTACAATATATTTTGCATCTTTTTTTTTTATTTACTTTTCTATCTATTTTATTTACAGTTATTATGTTAGTTATTTAACAAGCATTTGATAGTTTCAAAAGTTCAATAGTGTGGAGTTATTTTTTGTCAAAAATATACGACGATTTACTTTTCAACAATGTATAAATTTAATTAAAATTAAAATAGCAAATGTGTCCAGTCTACAATTTAGATTCTGTGGCTCGATGTGCCTGTGCCCGCTTGCGGTGGCGGCGGCGCGTTTTGTCTGCCTGACCACTGGCCGAGAGTGGCAGAAGTGGTAGCTGTGCATTCTGTCGCAGTCGCAGCTGGGGTGCGCTCATTTCTCAGCGCTCGCTCTCGACAGACTCGACCGCGTCTCTCGTGTTGTGCCGAATTTTCCCGCCAAAAATTCGCGCCTAATTGTCATGTTGTTTATTTTTAATGTATTCACACATCATTGTTGTTTCTATGTAACACAGTGATCAATTTTATTTTGTGATGCGGTCTTATGTTGTGTTAATTTTGTTCTTTGTGTTTTTACCGAGGTCTACGAAGGCGATACGATGGTTGTAAGTATCTCTATTTTAATAATTAATTGTTCTGCTACTTTATTCACAATGACAATTCATTATTTTTATTAATTTTATATGTTCTGTATATTATGTCATAACGAAAAATTCTTAGTTGGTTTAAAAAATAAACGTAGGTACATAAAATTGTTTAGTAGTCTATAGAGTTATCGAATATTACTAATTATAGTAGGTACGTCATTAAAAAACTAACATTGATGTGTACATGCAACAATGGCAACTTTGTTCCGTTGATGCATTACCTACATTTGTCGTATTTATATGTATTTTACTGTTATTCTTAATAATTTAAAAATAATTATTTTTACCTCATGTTTTTGTCATCTGGACTATCTGGGGGCACGGCAGTGTTTTCGCCAAGTCGATCCAAATAAAAGCGCATTACAAACAAAAAAACATGACTTAACAGTAGTACTATGACTGTATATTTAATGACTCTATATTTCCAAATTTCATCGAATTTGAACAGGTAGTTGAAAAACTATTCTAAGTCAAGTGACTTAATTTTATCAATCTCTCACTCACTCGTCGATCATTGAAACTCTAAGGCACTTCTAAAAGACACACAAACATCAAATTAACACAGTGCCGTCATAGTAATTTCAGCACCGTATTCTCGATGTACAAGCTTTTGTATTCTGAAGCAGGGAGAATAAACAATTACAAAGTTACTTTTGAATTTACTGGATTTTATTTTGAAGATGTTTACATACAGTAAGTCAAAGACCGATTTTTTTTTAATTTAAAGTAGCTAATCTATAAAAAGAAATGAGATCAAATGAGTCTTAAAATGGAAGAAGCGCAAGGCTGTAAGATCTATTTGTATCTTACCTTATTATGATAGTTAACTAAAACAAAACTTATTTTTAAGGTGAGTCTATGTTATTATTATTTAAAATTATGTTAAAACTTGCTGATTTATAATATTTAAAAAAATATGAGATAAGGAGGTGTACAAATATAAGTTTATAATTAAGGTGTTGTTGTACTACATGATGCCAGGATAAATTCCACGGCCTCACAAAAACCGATGTGAAGCACCACCGGAGGACAAAACCTTCTCTCCTAATTCTGGCACGGCACTCTAAGGCATGTAACGTACTTGGGACTCCTAATTGTAGATGTCCTACTGCGGCGATAGCCACTTACCATCAGGTGACCCGGCTGCTCGTTTGACCATTATGTCATAAAAAATATATACTTTATAATAAATAAATAAACACTATAAATACTAAATACATAATTACTTTATATTTACAAAATCAAATTTTCAAGCGCTTCTTTCTTGTTTAGTTTCATCGTCGTTTTTTTCAAACCTGCCTTTTTTTGTAAATTAATAATACATGTTATTTATAATATACACGCCTATATATCCAAAGGGAGAGAGGCAGAGATGTTTAAAACATTTTTTCTTCTATAATTTGAACCCATTCACTTAACAGGTGTAAAGGTAAGCCAATGGCTGTCAACCCGGTACCATAAAAATTAAAGATGGTGAAATTTTGGGCATATTGAAAGTAAAAGGTAGTTAAGAAAAAAAGATAATGGAAGGAAAGGGATATTGTTTATAGGGGTGGATTAGAGAGTGTTAATTAAGACCCAAGCTCGAGCACGATCACGTGACTGTAAAATTTTCCAACCATAGTATTTCATTTATAAATAATATATTTTCTCGTAAACTTATGAATTAGTAGAATTCCAAATATGAATTATGAATTTTCTTGTTTAAATGATGCATTTTTAATGTTTACATGCATAGTCAAGGTAGGATAAGGATCAGAAAACTTGTTAAAATAATAATAATATACCTCACACATTTCACACACGGCCGTCTGATCCCAAACTAGGCAGAGCCTGTGCTATGGTGACCAGACTGCTGATAAACATACTTATATATTTTTAAATGCATACATATTATAGATAAATTACACCCAGACACAGAACAAATGATCATGCTCATCACACAATATTTGTCCTGGGTGGGAATCGAACCCACGACCTCCGGCTTAGCAGTCAGGGGCACTAACGACTCGACCAACAGGCCCGTCAGAAAAAAATCGCTACTTCATGTACCTATAATCAATGCAAATCGAATAAATTCTATTCTACTCTGTACTCTTTAAGTAGAATATACAATACAATACCGTAATGGTCGGATTAAAACAAAGCTACTCGAGCGACGCGCGACTTACGAGTACAATTGAAAACGGTGATGGTGGTGATAGGTAGGCTCTCTATTATGATTGGTGCAGTTCCATCAATAGGGAAAATTTGAAATGTAAATACTGATATAATATATATATACAATATACGTGCTTTAAACAAATTGCAATTTTTTTAAATTAAGTTTCACTTTATAAGTTCATCCTAAACAAAATACTCTTCAAAAAGGAAAAATTACTTTTATACAAGCAAAAGCTAGTAATTATTTTCAGTTTTCAATCTTAATAAAGGAAATGTAAAAATAATATATAGCATAATATCGAAATAGCATACCTTTTTTTTTCCGTCCGGAAATCCCCCCGGATACCACCTATCGGTGGCATGTCGGACTCGAACCGATTAAAAACGCACGCCGTCTTGGGTACTAATAGCCGGGGAACCAGGTATACCCTAGAAAGGATGTCCCTATCGAAATAGCATACCTACTTACCAAAAAAAATAATTTAACTTGATTATATGTATGAACTTAACATGATCGAAATTAGAGTTACTCTTATGTATGTATAATAAACTTAATGCAGGCCTATAAAGAAATTAATTACTGATGGATATGCTTTATTCATTTATTAAAAAGGAACGAGATGAAATATGTAAGATAAATAACATTTGTTCGGGATTGCGTCGAAAAACTTTATTGACAACATGCAAAAATCTAAATGTAATAGGGTAACATTGAATCTCAAAAATATGCATAAATATAAAAAACGAATCTGATTAAGATTCTCAACGCTATGGGCACTGGGCAGGGTAACTAGCGGCAGAATCTGTAACGATAAAAAAAAGGCACGACCACAACGTTGTACAGTAGCGAATTAAACTCGCTAAAGATTATTTTCTAATATATAAGACTATATACAACAACGGTTATAAACTTTGTGTGTTTTAGTTACCTAAAAAATATGTAAAATTTTGAAACTTTTTATTCAACACTAACTGGTACCCGCTACTTCGTTCGCTTGGAATTTGTATAGCAGTCCGTGAGGCCTCTGGTTCCATTCCAGAACCGGGCAAAATTTTATAGGGTTTTTCCGAAAGGAAAATAGCCCAAGTTACTCCTTATATAGACAGCTACCTGGTAGTAAAATATTTTCAAAATTGATCTTGCCGTTTTGAAGATTACCCGGAACAAACAGACAGACAGATTAGTTATTTATTTTTACATAACAAACAGACACTTCAATTGTATTTATTTCTACAGATAGCATTACTTACATGCACATACATATTGTTCACGCAAATTAATGTTTACTTTAAATCTGAGTTAAACCGTGTATTAATTTATAGTGGTTTTTGTTTGAACATTATTATGGGTAACTAAATATATGTACAACTCTAGCTAAAAGAGAATAGAACTGCGATTTTTAGGCGCAATTCACATAATCCGAATAAATTGTCTGTAACCCTAACTAGGCTCTATTTGTCCCGAAATAGTGTCTACAAACTAACAAAAGTACAATCAATTATCCTTTCCCCCGATTTATTCAATCTTTGAACACACAGTTTTTAATCTAATAAAATAAAAAGACATAACGTCCCACTAATAAATGGATGATAAATTAATCATTTTGTAGTGTGTAATTTAAAAATTACTGTAAATTAAAAATTATGACAGAAGTTAAAAAAAAAGAAAAGTAAAAGAAACCGTATTTGATCCTATTTACAATTCAACTCTGTTTATATAGCTACAAATAAAATATATAAAGCAATTGTAGTTTCTAGTTACTTGAAAGCGAAGGAAAAACTTGATGTAGACGAGTATTATCTAACAAAGGAGACGTCTACTCTGTATCAATACAATTATCGAGTTCTTAAAGCGAAACGAATGAAAATATACAAGAGCACAATAGCTACAAAACGCTTATAATAACAATGTTATTGAACCATTTGAAACATCCACAGGATTTAAAGCGGTTGTAACGGCTCGATTCGCCCTCGTCCATCGGCGCTCCCTAATTGAACATCGCACTAATGAGCGCCGTTGTTCTGCTGCAACCCGCAATTATTCGCCCCCGAGATTACACCCGGTATTACCCGGGAAATGTGAGCTTTGGTTGGTGAACACGATTTTCGGCAGTGACTCTGAGTATCTAATTATTTTAATATTATGGTTGTTGATATTTATGCAAATAGCCAAAATAACGTTCTCTCACGCCTCGTAAAATTTGATACGTCAACATAAATATTTTTATAACTTTAGATGTGGACGTTAATATAACAATAATTTGAATTACAATATTATTTAAAAAAATAATTATTTAAAATAACTGTAATTATTTCTAAAACAAATTTTGCGATCTAGAAGTTAGGATTGGATAGCCATTTAAAGTAGTCAATATGTGAAGGTGCAGATTTGACAAGTTTATGCGGTACATTGGCCCCGTTGAAAGCTTTACCTATTTTTCATTATTTTCATAAATTGTAACTATATTGTATTATTACCAAGTGTTTGCATTATCACAGTACTAAATTATAAAATTAACTTTAATCATTTCGTAATCTCACTGATTTATAAAATTATACACTAAACATCTCTTTAATTGTATAATTTGTTATGTACCCGAGTATGCTAATACTTGAACAAAATTGCCATTTCCTTGCTTTTAAGTAGTATTACTACCTGTCAAATTAAACGCGTTAAACTAGCCAGGAGTACCAAATGACCTGATTACCTGCGTCTGCGAATAATACTTTGCGTCTCCCACAATATTACCCCATAACTTTCATATCCAAAGTATTGCACTAAAATGTCCTTACGTAAGTGATTCTTGTGAAAGGACCGGTTTCAGTATTCGCTGAGTTAGCAAGGGCCGTGTGTGGCAGACCGAAAAAAATAATTTCCCTCGCTCGAACTCCCACTGTGACTTTTCCAGGCGGCCGTCCCGTGCATCTGGCGGGGCCTATTATTAGGGGACGGCTCTTAATGCTTTCTTAGGTATTTTTATATGGCTGCCGTCTTAGTTTTTACGATTGTGATTTTTATTGAATTCTCCTTCGGTCTTACGTAGGTATCGAAGTATGCCGAGTGCGGACGAAGGTGAAATATGAGCCACTTACTAAAAGATTTATTTTATTGCACTGTGTTGGACACACGTTTATTACAATTTTATGTTCAAATGTTAAATGTAGGTAAGTATTTATCCAATTTTGGTTTTACTATAGATTAGTTGAGAATTTTATTAAACTCTTGGCAAAATCAAGTAACAGCTTGTTATCATGATAAGTTGCTTACACATGTTCTAAGCAAAAAGACACGGACGATTTATTTTTATTTATTCTTGGGAAGAATACTGTTCAATAAATTGGTCATCAATTAACAGTGAACTATTTATCTCCTATTACTCTACTGTTCTTTTTGTGTAATGTTATCTACCTTTTAATGTCAGTTACCTTTCTCCGTAGCTGGTGGCTCTTCCGTTCGTTTTTCCCGTTTCACGGGACAGTTCATTTTGATTGTTGTTAGTCGTGTGCGGTATTTCCGAACCGATACGACCTTCATACTGTTGTAACATCACTACCCTAAGGTAGTGATGTTACGGTCTTTAAGGAAGGAGTACGCTCTTACTAATAAGAGCGTACTCCTTCCTTAAAGACCGGCGACGCACTTGTGACTCCTGAGTTGCAGGCCTTCACGGGCGGCGGTAGTCACTTTCTATTAGGTGATCCGTCTGCTCATTTGCCCCATCTTCCATAATAAAACAATTATGTTATTGATTACAGTATTATCAGGTCAGATTGCAGTTTCTACCCATCATCTAAATGTTGAGGTATGTATAAGTCTCTCTGCCATACCCCTTTGTTTTGTCTGCCATACACACATTATCAGAATCAGATTATCGTATGCACCGACTCTGGACATGAAAGAAGCAATCCTCTTCCGTTGAATGGCGTTAAAAGAGTCAACGTGTGCCTCCGTTAGCATTTCAGAAGCGCTACAGAAGCGCTTCAAGCCCATTAGTTGCCTGAAGATGTTATTGTAAGCCACACGTATTCTATCATGCGTCTTTTTAGTAAAATCAGTCCAGAGCTGGCACGTGTAGAAGGTTTGGCAGAAAGACCTAAACAGAGAAGCTTTTACATCTGGCGAGCACCTGTAAAATTTACGGGCTATCATATTCCCTACGCAACAGAGACCTTCGTTGTCGTTCTACATAAGCATCATCCTTAAGGCTGGATGTAATGAAATAGCCAAGGTACTTGAATGCCTCGACTATCTTAACAGGTTGCTGATTCAAAAATACTGTAGGCATGTTTTCCGGACCTGAATGTCACCATTTCCGTCTTCTTTACATTGTAAAGCAAATCATGTTCAGCTGCGTATCTCTCACATATGCTTATTAACTTTTTCAAGCCCTTGACCGAGAGGCTCACCAGGACCATATCGTCGGCATAGCTGAGGTTGTTAACATATCTGTAATCCATCCTGAGCCCCACCGGGGAACTGCTGAGCTCCACGATCAGATCAATTACATAAGTGTTAAACAGATCCGGAGAGGTAACACCCCCCTGTCTTACACCACATTGAAGTTTGTAGCTTTCAGATGTCACAGAGCTCCACCGAGCAGCTTCAATTTTGACTTTACAATAACTTTACAATGTATAAAATTGTACTATGTGCCAGCTGCAATTTACCTAGTAACATTATGGTTGTAACAAACTCATTATAAACTAAATCTGTAAACTTTCTTGAAAGCCTACAAAGACTGCGAAAATGAAGTACAAGACGAAACGTGGAGGGCTTCGCGGTGGCCGAACTTTGTACTGTTACACGAGTTCGCAACTTGCATTGTAAACGGGTAAAATTATACAATTTAAATACACAATATTGAGCAGCAGGCTATTGATAGTAGGCAGGTTTTGTTACCTATTAAACACGTTTTTTATATTCTGTCTAGTTCAAAATTTATAAAACTAGTATAGCTGGTACTAGATATAATGTAAACCCTTTTAAATAAATGGAGACTCTTGCTCCGATATAATAAAGTTGGTTGCACCTAAAAGTTTATTTTTCTATCGCTGAGCTTCTACTCTTCTGACGTTATTGATGCATTTACCCTTCGACGTCCAGTGAAAGTGTAGAGAATTTTTTAAATCATTTTATTTCTTTATTTGGAACGAAGTTCCTTACGCTCTGTAAATTAAAAAGGTTCTAACAATTATACCTACAACGACACAAAGAATACGTGCACTCAAAACAACTATTTGTTGATTACACCAAAAATTGGTATCATACGGCCATCGAACCCTTACACTCGCATCAGTATAGCTGCAAGGTAACTTTAACCATTGCGCAATCAGTGTAGGCATCACAATTAATGATAATTCAATGCGTTAAAACATTTCCCGTCTGTTCTATTGAACGCTTAAAAGTTTCCAAGCGTAGGTGCAGATACCAGGTCATGGGGAATTTAACTACAGACTGCCATAGTTTGATGCACATAATTATGAAGTTTTGTGTCTGTACGGTGGACTTATGTTTAGTTCCTAGTTTTGTATACTTTTTCGGTTTATCCTAGGCACATCAGCCAGATAAGGCGCACTTTAAGTCAGTCTATTATAATTCAATACATACATAAACATCCGTGACTCTAATCTAGACCATTAAGGAGTGCCCACGTTTTCAGAAAATTCTGAGCCAGGTCATAAAGAACTTTAGAGTGGACTATCATAATTCAAACTCCTGAACAGTCAAACGTATAGAAAGAAAACTTTACATGTACAAAAACTTTGATGTATTGATTTAAACTACCACGGTCATTTTCACTTGATAAGTAATTTGTTGTACACGGGATATTTGCAATTTTTATGGGGTGTATCATCATATTATGGATGAACAGTTCATCCCTAATCATGTCGCTTGCAACAAATAAATAAAATAAATATGATGAATATCCCGCTTATAATAAATAACCTATCAAGAAAAAGATTTTATCTATCAAATTACAGTTAAAATTATTTAAAACCCTGCACACATAGAGCACCGTTCCTCATTTCGATTTGTTTTTTTTTTGTTTTAAATGTATATTTTTTGGGATGAAGACATAAAACGTGACAAAACAACATAGAAATTACTCAAAAGTTCACAAATATCAGTATTTCAATACCAATTTAAAACACTCCATGATGAACACTTTATACAATTTTCAATAACTTTAACGAAACCAAAAAATCTAATGTAAAAAAAAAAATTATGAAAATCGATGTAGATCTACTTAGTACATTTAAATATTATATAACTAGGTAAGTATATTATTAAGTTAAACGACAAATTAGCACACGTAAAGAATTATTCTGACTGACTATCTATTAAATTTTCACAGGTCATTAGTTTTCCCAATATATTTATTTAGATGTTGCTCATTTTTCTTTGGGTTAAATATAAAGAAACTAATGTTGAATTTCTAATTTTGATTGCCCTGCCTGAAGTAATATCATCCTACATTACATTGTTTTCAAACCACAAAATTGAATTAATTCTTAATACGGGACGCATGAATTCGATCTGATCCGAGAATCAATCCTATGCCCACAGTAACAAACGGCGGTCCCTTTCATCCATTTAGACGATTGTCCGCCTCGAAAAAAATTTACATTAATGGAAACAAAGAAAAGTTTGATACTAATTAAAAATGAAATCTCAGATTCGTAAATTAATCAGTTTGACTATTAATATAACTGTTAACAGTTAATTTAATTATTTAAAATAAAATATACAATTTCATTGATTACTCAAGTAAAAAACATATTACCATATCATTTTTAGTTATTTTTACATGCAAAGATCAAGATCAATATGTATAACTTAAAGTTTGAAACTTAAAACTCACTAAGTCAAATTATTGTAAAAGCATTGCTTTACCACTAAAAACATTAGTAAACAGTGGAGTATATCAACTAACGAACGTACTTTTATTGCTACGTACAGGACGCAGACTTTGATCCTTTAAATATAGATTTTATTCACCCATTCAATGGACTGCTTACACATTGATGCTTTACCAATTTATCTTAACGAAGAACAAACGACTTAATTCCTGAACATCTCGAAAGATTGTTTTTGTTTTTCTCGAGAGGGCGGAGTACGGCAATAAGTACAACAAATCGTTATATGCACGATTCATTTGATCTGACACAAATTTATCCACGCTGTGCCGCTCTTTATTTACAGACGATGTTCAGTTTGTCCTGACAAATTCATAAATTACCGACATCCTCACCGCATGGCATTTATTCAACTTTTATTTTTGTCACACATCTCGTGTTCGACCGTATCGACGGCAACCTTTTTGGTGTATGGTTCATTAATCAAATCTATAGGACGCTGTATCGAATTTGTTATATTCTCCGCCAATATAATAGCATTGTGAGTTCAATGACCTTTCCTCTTATATTCTTACGAGCTTTTTATCCAGGAATGGAGCTTTTTTAATTCCATAAAAAAATTGTTACTTGCTTAAAATCTGTATGAGAGATCTTAAAGAATTGGATTCGTTGAAAACAATAAACAATAAAAAAGAAATATTTCGGACACCACGGACTGACAATAATATGTAACTGGACCTAGTTTTTATACAGTTCATTGCTATTTTTTTATTATTTCGTTTAAATCCATGTTCTGTGTAGATAAGTATATTTTTAGGTTAAGCGACACGTTATGAAAGGAAAGCTAATTTTTTCTCCATAGTTAAAAATCAGAGAGTTCTTAATTTTTAAATGTTACGTAAATCTTCCTGGATTAAGTTAACACATAATGTCAAACCGGCCTTTAAAATGAACAATGTTTTTATTTTACAAGTGAATGCTTTGACAGAGCTTTTTAATTTCATAGTGTAGTTAGTAGCGATTTGAAAAAACAACGATACTTGTTTGCTGATTGGCTTAACAAACAAATCTTAATGCTTAATGGTTTGGGAATTGAAGCAGCGATGCCTCATTTTTAAGAAATTTGTTATTGTTTATTTTTATGTTTTTAACCTGTAAAAGGAACTACAGTTTTCATTCTTATTACCACTTCCATTCTTTTGATTGTTAAGCCCTTTATAAGACCCACTATGGTTTTTATTGAAGTCTTAAATACTCTACATTTAGGCACTTGGATATGGGCTGGGTTGCAGTCTTAAAATGGATCGTTCATAAATATTAAAAAATATAAAAATTAACGTCGATTTCGACAATTTGGGAAGCAAGCATAGCCTTGTTTTAATAGTGAATATATCGAATATATTTAATAATGAGGTCCTTATCGTAATGCGTTCATGGGCGGCTGAATGAAAGTGACCATCGCCGCCCATGAACGTCTGCAACTCAGGACTTACAAACGCGTTGCCGGCCTTTTAGGAAGGAGTAGGTAAGCTCTTTTCTTGAAGGTTTGAAGGTCGTATCGGTCCGGAAATACCGCAGACGATAACCCGTTCAGCAGATTGGTTTTGTGTGTTGTACGCTTAGATC